CCTCCACCCCCCAAAAAAACCCACCCCAGCCACCATGGAGGTGACATCCCCCCGTCCTGGGCTACTGCTGGCCACCCTCTGCCTCCTCGCGTCCCACGGTAAGCTCCAGTTTGCTTTCCTCTCCTTTCCTCTCCCCCCAAGGAAACCGTCCTCGCTGAGGCTGTGCCTCGGCGCGAGGAGTTTGAGACATTTTTAGGGGGTGTTTGTGCGTGTGTGTGTGTGTTATTTGCTTCCTCACCCTCTGATTTCAGAGTTACGGGGCGCTGGAGACAGTTTTTCACGCGATGCTGGTTGTGTCAGGGTGGGGGAAGGAGCCCCCCCCCCGGCGTAGTCGCTGCTTGAAAACTCTGGGATTAGGCTTTTTTCCTTCTTCCTTCGCTTTGATCTAAGGTGCGTGGAAGGAAAGAAGCCACCGCCTGTCCCTGCCGACCCCACCACACTGGGGATCTTGAGCTGGAGACACCTGGTTCCTGCACGGTGCTGGGGAGGTCCCCAGCCATAGGGTCACCCCATGCCGTGGGGAAAGGAGCTTTTTATCAGCCCTGGGGGAGCGGGGAGAGTTTGTGTGAGCAGGGCTGGGGTGCCCTCTCTAAGGATGCTGCACTCTGCTTTAATTGCTGGGATGTGCTGGGCAGCTTCTCCGGGTGGGCAGGGGGGGGTGGCTGTGCCAGGACAGCCGTGTGCGGCCATCGAGTTTCCCTTCTACTTGAGTAAATGCTTCCCAGCTCTGGAAGATCACCAGCAGCTCCCCAGTGTGGGGGGGGGGGATGCTCTGGGAGGGGGGATGCTCTGGGAGGGGGGTGCTTCATGCCTGACTACACACCAGCTTCTGTAGCCGGGCTCTTGGGGCCAGGCAGGCAAATGGGGGCGGTGGCAATTAAAACCACAGCTCGTCTGTGGATGAAGGGTCAGAGAAAGAAGCTGGGAAGGACCACGGTCCCTCCTTGCCCTGCACAGGAGGAGGATGAGCATCCTATAGGGCTTGGCTTCTCCCTCTGCCCCGGGACAGCAAAGGGACCACCTCCAGGATTTCTGGCAGCACATTCCCAGGAAAAAAAAATGATGCCCCCCCTGCAACGGAGCAGTGGGTCCCTTCTCCTCTTTCCTCTGGAACAGCAAGGCTGGTGTAGATCAAAGTGTGCTTTGCTTCTCATCTGAGCCTCTTGACATCAAGGAGCGATTCCCTGCATCTCCTTGGGACTTTGGATTATTTCATTGACGCCTCTGGGATGCTGGGACTGACCATCAAGCCTTCTGCCATGCAACCAGCCTGGACGCTGCTGTTCAACATGAGCCTGGTGCCAGAGGAACTGAGCTTTGTGCAACCGGGCGCCTGCCAAAACTTTCTGAACCCCCAGCTAATTTTAGCCGGGCTTGATGGAGAAGTGGAGCCCTTGGAGACATCCGGCTCCTACGCGGTTCGGAGCTGCTGGCAGCTAGGTGGATGGAGAAGCTGCTCCTCTCCACCCAAGGGATGGCAGCTGAGCTGGGCTTTCCAAAATCACATCCCAAGTGCAAACTTGGTGTTGTGACCCTGTCCCCGAGCAAGGCAGGACAGCAGCTCTGGTCTGGTCTCCCCATGGCCTGGATGATGGGTACCCAGAGAGTGGCCCTCTCCGATAAAAAAGGCTTCTCAGGGTACAGGAGATGAGGGCCATTAACATGGGCATACGACACCTTCAGGAAGGCTTTTTTCTTGTACTTGTGCTGAGGTATGGATGCCCCCGCACATCTCACCCGGCTGATAACTCTGAAGCGTAATGATGGCACAGTGACGATGGGGACTGTGGCACTTTCTTTTGAGGCTGTAACAAAAGCTCCAGCTGCTCTGTCTCTCTCTGGCAGCCCTTCCTCTGGGGCAGGTGAGCCCCTCCAAAGGCTGCAGCCCTCCCACTCAGATCTCCCTGCAGGGGAAAGAGGTGGCATGATGTGGAAATCACTTCTCCAAGTCATAGGAGTGTAAACCAAACAAAGCAGGGAACTGAAGTCAGGAGAGGTTTTTGGTCACTGAGCCAGAATTTGGCATGAAATCCTGGTTTTTTTGAGTTGTTGGTCGGCAAAGCAACACGGGCTCCTTGGCATTAGCCTTGTTTTGCATTTTGCTTTCTCTGGAAGGAGAGCTCCCAGGTTTCAAGCTAGGCAGTGGTGGCAGCACCAGGGATGGACCAGTGCTGCAATGGGCTCTGTGCCATGCTGATCCAATGCTGTGGGTCAGAGCCCAAGATACCGAGGTGCCAAAGAGGCACTTTTGGCACCCGCTTGAGACCTCCTCTGTCTTCACCAGATGGTGACAAGACGACAGCTCTTGGCTTGGACCTCGATGGGTCCAGCACTCCCTCAGCTCTCAGTCAGAGCTGCGCTGAGCCAGGCGTCTGGCTTTTTTTTGGCATTTGCCAGTGGCACTGACTTCAAAGGGAATGGTCCGACCAGGATGGGACGGAGCCAAACCTGGGGTCTAGGCATGGAGGAAGCCCACAGAACCCAGGGAAGATTAAGATCCACGAGCTTTACTGTAAAGACACCAACAGAAGACGTTTCCTCCGGGCACCAGCTGGCATCTAGCATGGCTTTAAAGCTCTGTTGCATCCTGGGGAGGGACCAACAACCTCCCTGGTGCTGCCGCACCTCGCCAGCTCTTCTCCCCAGCTGTTTTCTCCCCAGCTCGATAGCTTTTGGAAACCTTCCCTTGCTTGAGAGAGAAGAAGGGAAGTCAGTAATGCTGAAGGCTCCACACACGTGGTCACCTCTGCCCCTCCCCGTGGCCGGGTGCCGCTGCTGAAAGCGTGGGCTGCGTTGACTTTCCATCCAGACGGTTCCCATCAAGGCCCGGAGGAGGAGGAGGAGGAGGAGGCTGGATGGTTTAGCAAGGCACAGCTTGGCAAAAATGTGCGGGGAGGAGGTGGGAGACAGCCTTGTTTTTATTTGAGGGGGGGTGGCCGTGGGGGGGTGGAAAACAAAGACTCTCGCAGATACTTTGGCAAGGTGTTGGAAGCGGCGGCTTCCTCCAATAGAGCCCTGGCTTCCCTTCTGCTGGCTCCCGGGGGACCCCCCGTGTGAATGGGGCACTTCCCGTTGGGGCAGGTATTAAGAAACACATCTGAGATGCCTTTTGTACTCAACATGCTGGCAAGGAGGGGGGGGACCCGCTCCCCTGCGTGGCAAAACCCAACCAGCCCACCCGAGCATCCTGGACCCCCGCCTTGGCCAAGCATCCGAGGATGGGGAGTGGAGAAAACAAGCAGAAATGGAGCAGGGTTGAGGTCAGGCCACACAAAGGTCTACCCAAGGACTGGCCCTGGGGATGTGCTGCTGGGGAGCAGGTTGAGGCACCTGGAGCAATTAGCCAAAGTGGTTTGGCCAAGGTCATGCCGTCCCCGTCTTGGTAGGACTCCTCCAGCACCACGTGCTGCAGACCCAGGGGACAGGGGGAAGGTCCAAGAGGGCACATCCCTTCCCCAAAACCTCCTCTCCCTGCAAAGCACCCTCAGAGGCAGGCTTCTGGGGACTTGGGGGGCTTCGTGGCTGTTCTTACAGGGCTTAGAGGTCACCATCATCTAAAAAAACCCAGAAATAACCACGAGGGGTGGAAGGCACGAGGGATGTTTTCGCTTTCACTCTCTCGAAGTGGAGCCTGGTGCTGGGGCAGTGACCCTGCCTGGAGGAGGATGCTCTCCGGGCAGCCTGGTGCTGGGGAGCCTCTCAGCAGGGTTGGATGGTTTGAGGGTAAGCACAGCACACCCCCACCTTTGATTGACACCCGCTCGATATAGCAAGTGAAAAACCTCAAAGCGAAACAGTGGCGGAGCTAATGGCACAACAGGATGTTACCAAAATAAAAGAACATCTCGTCCCCATACCACCTTCTCTGTCGCAAACCAGCCCCAGGAACCTCCTTTTTCTCAATAACTGAACCCCAAATCTGCTTTTTCCTTCAGCTTTCCAAGGGGATACTCCCCTTCGTGGCTGTTCTTACAGGGCTTAGAGGTCACCATCATCTAAAAAAACCCAGAAATAACCACGAGGGGTGGAAGGCACGAGGGATGTTTTCGCTTTCACTCTCTCGAAGTGGAGCCTGGTGCTGGGGCAGTGACCCTGCCTGGAGGAGGATGCTCTCCGGGCAGCCTGGTGCTGGGGAGCCTCTCAGCAGGGTTGGATGGTTTGAGGGTAAGCACAGCACACCCCCACCTTTGATTGACACCCGCTCGATATAGCAAGTGAAAAACCTCAAAGCGAAACAGTGGCGGAGCTAATGGCACAACAGGATGTTACCAAAATAAAAGAACATCTCGTCCCCATACCACCTTCTCTGTCGCAAACCAGCCCCAGGAACCTCCTTTTTCTCAATAACTGAACCCCAAATCTGCTTTTTCCTTCAGCTTTCCAAGGGGATACTCCCACTTCTGCAAACAAAAAGAGTCATCAAGCTTTGCCCTTTTCTCTTTCGTCACGCACAGCTCCCTTTAGCCACCAGCACCCTGGTCCCACCTGGTCCCACCGTGCTGGGACAGGACCAGTAATGCCTCAGTGTACACTTCTGCAAACAAAAAGACTCATCCAGCTTTGCTCTTTTCTCTTTCATCACACACAGCTCCCATTAGCCACCAGTACCCTCTGTTGCCATGCTGGGACAGGACCAGTAATGCCTCAGTGTGCACCTCTCTTTCCATCCCTGCCTCTCAGCCAGCTCCTGTGCCTCTGCCAGGCTTCCTGCCCGCGTTTTGCAGCCCGCAGTGCTCAGGGATTTCTTTCTGAAAATTGTTTTTCGTTTCAAGCAGCTCCTCCCGGTCGGCGTCAGCCAGTTCCCCCTTCTCCTCCCCCAGGGCTGAAAAACAAGCAGGGTGGGACCCACCTGATCTTGGGAGGGGGGCATGGGGGCTCCTCCTGCCTATTTTCTTTATGGTTTTTTTTTCTCCTATTTATTTATTTTTTTTTTTAGCCACCTCACCAGCACTTGGTACTCTGCTTTGCAGAGGGCTGGTGCAGGTCCTCACCTCCCTGCTCTGCCCAGCTCTGCCCAAACCTCTGCCCCTCCGCTGGCATTAAAACCTGATGCTCACCTCTATTAAAAACATCTCCTCCAGGGGTCATTTCTAGGGTGAAGTTGTGCTCCCAGCCCTGCTGGGATGTCACTACAGAGCTCACACCGTGCTTCCCATCTCCTTTCTCTCGGGACACCAGGACCTCATGAGTTTTTTCTTGCCCTAAGGGCATGAGTGAAGCGTTTTTTCCCTCTGCCTTCTTTCTGATTGCTCTCTGCAACCCCTAGCTTTGGGGAGGGATCCCCTTTTTGCTCCAAACTCAGGGTAAACCCAGAGCTGTAGGGTCTGACTCAACCTTCACGCCTTCTCTCCGGCAGGAGGACCAGCAGCTTTCCTCATCACCACCCCCTACTCGCTCTGCATCTGCCCCGAGGGCCAGAACGTCACCCTGACCTGCCGGATCAGCGGTCCCTTGGCCGACCACCACGACCTCCTCTACAAAACCTGGTACTTCAGCAGCAACGGCGACCAGAGCTGCTCCGAGAAGAAGCACATCCGCAACGTCACCGAGAAGGAGCTGCACCACAACCTGGGCAGGCATCACGAGCTGCTGGGCAACGGCACCCAAAAATACCCCCTCAGGGGCCAAGGCAGCCATCACGGGGTGGAATTTGTCCCCGACCACCACGGTGCCTTTCACATCGTGGTGATGAACCTGACGCTGCAGGACAGTGGGAATTACTGCTGCTATGCCGTGGAGGCCAGGTGGGAGCACGGCAAACCCCATACCCTGCAAGTCGCCCATGGCTTCGTGGAGCTGCAAATCCAGCAAGGTGAGGAGGGAGGACCCTACCAGTCCCACAGACATACTGGGTGCACTGGGGCAAGGCAGCAGATGAGGGCTGGTGAGAGATGCTGGGGTGCAGCATCGGGGCTGGGGGGGCAGGGTGTCCTGATGCTGCAAGTCCAAGCCGTGCTGGAAGAGTCAAAGAGCAGCAGATGTTCAAGGGTTGAATTAGGGCCAGAGAACACTGGAACATTTAAAAAAAAAGAAAAAGAAAAGAAAAGGAAAAACAAATCAAGAGTCTGGAATGCAATAAAATCCATGCTACATAGTTTCACTGATCTTCTTCAACCCCTTTCTGGAAGAGAGGAAAACAACTTCAACATAAAAAGAGACGGCTGGTGGTTCAAGCTCCAGTGAGGGCTCCAGACATCCCTGCTGGGGATGCAGGGCTTGGAGATAACCTTGGAGCAGCAGCCTGGTGGGGCAAGCTGCCCAGGGAGGCACAAGATGGAAAGGAAAGCATATCTTGCCCTTAATTCACAGCGTTAGAATAGATAATTTTTCTTTTAGACCAAAAATAAAAGAGCCTTCAGGGACAGGGCTGGGCCCTGCTGCTGCAAGGGAAAAGGAGGAGGAATCTCAGTGAGAGCTTCCCAGAATTAAACTCTTGCTTCCCAGAATGAAACTCTTGCTCTGGGCTGCTTTGGAGAGCAAAGACAAGCACAGCTAGCAGGTGTGGGAGCTCTGTGGTACCTGAGGGAATCCCCCCTGAGATCTAACAGGCTTTTCTCTTCCCCCCCCAGGCAGAGGAAGGCTTCAAAACTGCACGTTTCATACCGCCACAAGCAAAGGTAAAGGGAAAAGCACCCTCTCTCCAAAGCACTGCTCGCCACCCTGGCCCCTGTGTTTCCCTAGGGACTGCCCCTTGCTGTGAACACACCGGTGCCCAAGATGCCACCTCACAGCTGGGTGTTGGGAGGGTGATTTCTGAGGCTGTCCCCACGGGGTGCATCTGACAGGCACGTCCTCAGGCTGAGAAGAGTCTCCTTTGGCACATCACCTCAATGTGACTGTCCTGAAGCCCATGGAGATCATCCACCCCATGGTTATAAAGCACCTAACCCCCCCGCCCCAACCACAATTGGGGATTTAGCAACTGCTGCCACGAGCAGATGGGAAGGGACAGGAAGGTAAAGAGTTGCAGGGACCTCTTGCAACACCCTGCTGCCATCCCGAGCCCATGCCACCTCGCCCCAAGCAGAGATGCTCTAGCAGGGGAAACCCAAACCTTGCTTGAGCGCTCAGACAACATGAAGCCACCCCCCCAAGCGCTGTGTCTAGACACTGGAGGTGCCCACACTTCACTATGCGGGTGGTTTTTTGGTGGGTCGCTCGGTTGGCAGCACGGCTGGGGCCAGCCCACCCATGGGAAACTGCACCAACTCAACTGTCCATCTCAGACCCTCAGTCCCAACTGCTGGGACACCCTGTCCTGCTGGGCAAATAAGAAAAGGGAAATAATTCCCCCTCCCAGAGCAGGAGGTTGCTTCCCCAGATGGATGCACTGGAGAGGAGGGCTTGAGCCATACCTGCCTTTGATTTAGGCAGCCCTTGACCCCTCCACAATCTGTCCCTCGTGGACCTTGATGGCCACACACACAACAGCAGGCCGCCAGCCCTTCTGGGGAGCCTCCACAGTGGAGCTCTCCAGGGGCACTTTCATTAGTGGAGGCCTTGGCTAACGAGCCCTTTGATGCCCGAGTACTTTGAGGCAGCCTGATTTTGTTGAGCTGGCACTCTGAAATCACTGAGAGCCTTTCTGCTGACTTCAAAGGCCTTTATCAGGGCCCCTGCTTCTCTCCTCATATCTAGGAGACCAAAAGAAAGGCCTTGGGATGTCCTCCAGCAATGAAGGACTTTGGTCAAGGTCCTAAACCGATGCTGCGGAGCTTATCTCTGCAACCAGCCAAGCATCCCAGCGTGAATCCTGCTGGGAGGGGACCACCCCTGTGTGTGGGAGCCGTGTCGGATCAGGCGTGGGGCAATGCTGGTGCTGCCCTGTGCTTCTGGAAACCCAGGAAACACCAGGCAAACCCTCCCCAGCTCTGCCCTCTTCTGTTGCAGATATCACGGCCGCCGCGCTGGCGACGGGTGCCTGCATCGTGGGCATCCTCTGCCTGCCCCTCATCTTGCTCCTGATCTACAAGCAGAGACAAGCGGTCAGCAGCAGACGTACGTACCCTCCCCTGGGGACCCTTCTCATCTCCTGGGCTGTGTCAGCGTGGCCGTTATGGGATGGGATGCATCCCACTGGGCCGAGTGGGTTTGGCTGCCCTGAGTCCCCTGGGCACCATGCAAGGTGGCCCAAAGAGAGGTCCCTGCCAGGTGCCTCCTACCAAGCTGCCTTGGGAAGGAGCGGGCATGCCTGCAGGCTGCCGGGAAGGAGTGTGGGGTGGGAGGGGGACCCGTGACACCTGCATGGCACCCCAGGAGTGTGCTGGGGACACTGAGATGGCAAGGATGCTGCCAGGCCCCCTCTCCACTCACTGAGCCCTTTCACAGACTCATAGAATGGTTAGAGTTGGAAGGGACCCTAAAGATCATCGAACTCCAACCCCCCTGCCCTGGGCAGGGACACCTCCCACCAGACCAGGTTGCTCCAAGCCCCATCCAGCCTGGCCTTGAACCCCTCCAGGGATGGGGCAGCCACAGCTTCTCTGGGTTCTCCAGTGTCTCACCACCCTCACAGCAAAGAATTTATTCCTAATATCTCATCTAAATCCCCCCTCTTTCCTACTCACCCACTGCAAGAGCCGGCTCATTTACTCATCCGTCCCTCTGCCACGTAGCTGAAATAGAAGCTTTGCCTTCTAAGCGTACCCACTGTGAGAGCCAGCTCATTTACTCATCCGTCCCTCTGCCCCATAGCTGAAATAGAAGCTTTGCCTTCTAAGCGATCGAAAAAGCATTTATTTGTGCTTTTTCTCCCCCTGCTTTTTAAAAAGGCCCCTTCCATGTCTATGGCAACGGGGCTGCAGTGAGCCCTCTCTCCGTCCACCGCCCCAGCAAACCAGGTGGTGCCAAGGTGCAGCCCATTCCTGGTGATTTCAGCAATTAAGCAGCAAGGGGCACCACCTTAACGAGCAGAACCATTTCATCAGGCCTTGGGTGAGCCGGAGGCACTGTGGTTTCTCTCACTGAGCCTGGGGGGTGGCTGTGTGGCTCTGAGCAAACCCTTTGGAGAAGTGGTTGTTGCAGCAGCAGCCAACGTGATGCCAGCCACGAGAAGGGGAACTGGGCTGTCAGCATCCACCCCTGGCCAAAAAGACTGGCCATGTGCCTTCTTGCACCCATTTTGCCAGAGTGCAGCTCCTGCCCTGGGCTGCAAAGCATCACCTGGGTGCTATTTCACTGGCACTGTTTAGTTTGAGGAAGAGGAGGCTGAGGGGAGACCTCATCACTCTCTATGACTATTTGAAAGGACACTGTAGACAGATTGGTGCTGGTCTCTTTTCACAGGGAAGTAGTGATAGAACAAGAGGGAATGGCTTCAAGCTGCAACAGGGTGGGTTTAGACTGGACTTTAGGAAGAAATTCTGCACAGAAAGAGTGGTCAGAGACTGGAATAGGCTGCCCAGGGAGGGGGTTGAGTCACCATCCTTGGATGAGTTTAAGAGTCGTTTAGATGTGGTGTTGGGGGATATGGTGTAGGGGAGAACTTTGTAGGGTAGGGTTGATGGTTGGACTCGATGATCCCAGGGGTCTTTTCCAACCTGAGTGATTCTATGATTCTATGATTTAAGCCAAGAGGGAAGGCAAACCCTAGGGAAATTTGCTTCTGGGGTGTTTCGGACTAGGTTAGCTACAAGTCATTTCCACCAGGCACAGTCTGGGCCAGAATTCATGTGTCTCAGCTGGGGTGACCATCCAGCACACCCAGGTGACACGGGCTGTGGGACCTGCTGTGCCTGTGGCAAAAGGGATGAGGAAATAAATAGCAGGGTGCTGCCCAGACAAATCCCAATGGTGGGATGGTGTTTTGCAGAGCCCCAGGAGGGTGTCACAGGGGGGTGGTGGGCACATCAGGGCTGTAGCCCAGGAGCCCCGGCTGTGCCTCCTTCCCCCTTCTTCAGAACCTGAGGTTTCAATCCAGGGGGAAGCTGGGCTGGGGAGTAAATACGCCAGGAGACGGTGGGGATGTGGAGAAGGGGGTTTTGGAGCAAAGAAGAGGTTGATGCTAAAGAGGGAGGAATGCAGAGGAAGAGAAGGAATTGGCCGTGGCTGAGATGCCAAAAAAGAGCCCTGGCAGCGGGTGTGGGTTTGATGCTGGGTTTCGTGCTGCCAGCACTCATGCCAACCATTTTGTCTTTGCCAGGTGCCCATGAGCTTGTCAGGATGGAGAGGTGAGGAAACCCAGATACTTCCAACTCCCCCTACCCTCCTCGCACCCCCGGATCCTGCAAGGGTCTTGTCCTTTCCTCCCCTCCCCTCGAAACCAGCCCGGCAGAGCCAAGGGGATGCGGGTCACTCCCACGCTTGGGGTCCTGTCCCTTTCCCAGCAGCTGCTGTTTCTCTTCCCTCCCTCAGAGTGGGAAGCATCTCCTTTCTTTTCCCCCGTGTCAAGGACATGCTTCTCCTCATGCCCCAGGAGAGCCTGAAACCGGGGTGCCTTTTGACTCAGCTTTCCCCCTCCTCCTCCACCGGGCTCACTGTTTGCTGGCAGCCAAAGTGCCACCACCTCAACCTGCTCCCTGCCCTGGTTGTTCCCAGCGCTCAAAACCAAAGCCCCAGGGATAAAAAACCACAACAGCCTCCTGAAATAAATAAAAATGCAAATTTCCACCCCTCTTCCCCCCCCACCCCCATCACCTCCTCTCCCGCAGCAGCGCCCAGGGCATCGAAAACCCCGTCTTCGAGGAGGTCCCCTCAGCGAGTGTGGAGCCACGACCCCGACCCCAGCTCTCCTACATGGCCACCCGACTGCCCTCCGAATCTGGCCGGCATCTCCTCTCTGAGCCCAGCACCCCCCTGTCCCCCCCTGGCCCTGGGGAGTGCTTTTTCCCCACGCTGGGTGAGTGACCGGCGATGCTGGGACCACTGCGGGAAGGGGTGGGAAGAAAAGGGGCAGGCAGGGGGGGATGAAGGGGAAAAGGTGGTGGTTAAACATCACCAACATATAAACATAAACAAATTGGGAGGGTTAAACATCAGCTGCAAACTTTGCACTGTGCGGGACAGGGAGTCTGCAAATGGGAAAGCCCCCAAAACCCCTTGTTTTTCCATGCAAAAGCGGAGTTTGGCCACTGCTGCGGGATGGGGTGGGAAGAAAAGGGGCAGGCGGGGGGGGATGAAGGGGAAAAGGTGGTGGTTAAACACCATCAACATATAAACATAAACAAATTGGGGGGGTTAAACATCAGCCGCAAACTTTGCACTGTGCGGGACAGGGAGTCTGCAAATGGGAAAGCCCCCAAAACCCCTTGTTTTTCCATGCAAAAGCGGAGTTTGGCCACTTCCTGAAGAGGATCCCCGCAGCTGGAAGCCAGGCTAATCCCCCTCCTGGTCTGCCCTTTTCCAGATCCTGTTCCTGACTCACCAAATTCCTTGAAAGCCTAAAGAGCCCCGGAGGAAACCGCAGCCCCCAGCCGCAGCCCGGGGGGACCAGGCAGCCACCGCTCCGTGATGGACCAGCCGAGACCAGATGGACAGCATGACCATGAGCCTTAAAAAATGAAGCTGAGTGCAGGAGCTCTGCCCTCCCCTCCTGTCCTGGCTCTGCCCTGGGGCTGGAATTGAACCCACTCTCACCTGGATTTTGGTTTTTTCACTCCCTGTTTCTATGGAGAAAGAGCCTGGCTCTGTACTGCTTGCGTTTTACGGACTAGCTGAATACAGGGGGAAAGAAGGACGACCTGCACCTGCAAACCTCCCCCAGGATCTAACTTATTGCCAGGGGTTTAATCTCTGCAACGTCAACCCGTTTCTGCATCTTTGACTGAGCATCCTCTCCGGGAGCGGATGGTGAAGTACTTTATCCGCCGCAAGACAAAACAGGGTCACCGGCCACCCTTATACTACCTTTTTTCTTTGCAAAACAGGAAGGGGAGAGGCTCCCCGCTGCTGATGGAGCCCTCCTTCCTCACCAGCCTTTTGAGGCAGCCACGGACTTACGGGGCTGCCCTGTTTGCAATGGGACACACATCTGGAGGAGCCTGATTTCTACCGCAATTTTATCCTGGGCTTGGGATCACGGGAATTTATCTTTCTGGTTTGTTTCACTATCAGTGCTGATTAAAAGAAAAAAAGGATGTTTATAGGTTTTTTTTTAATTATTATTATTTTTTTTTTTATTTTGGAAATGCCTGTAAATTAGGGAGTTCATCCGGGGGGTGTTCCTGTGACATGGAGCAAGGAGCTGGTGGTGGGAAATGTTCTGGCTGGTTTCTCCCCATCCTCCCGGGGCCAGCATGGCCCAGAGCAGCTGTCCCCCAGGGCCACTGCCTTCAGCCACACCAGAGGACCCTGTGATGCCCCAAGGGACGCCGGTGCCCTCACAGCATCCTCTGTCCCAAGGCAGCACCCCAGCATCACTTATCCAAAAGAAGCCGTGGGATGGGCTTCAACGTGACTCAGCTCCCAGCGAGGAGATAAAAACCTTGTGGTAAATACTGTTACTTGAAGGGTGTGTTTAAGTTTTTGTTGTTTTGTTTTGTTTTTCCTCTTGCTTCTGTTTTTGTTGTAAAACAGGGGGAAAAATAAATGCCACTAGACAAACATAAACATTACTCATACCAAAACAGTGTCAGACCTGAGCAATAGCCGCACCGGGCGGTGTGCCCGGGCACAGCGTCCCCGGCAGCACCCCGAATTTTCAGCCTACGTGGCTGGAGGAATCAGTGTTTGCCTCTACAACGGGCTGAGGACACCCTGGCCTGCTGCAGGGTTTGATTAATCTGGCATTGGCTTCAGCAAGAGGAATTTCAAGATGCTCCATCCGCAGGCAGAGGGATAATAAAGAAGTCCCCACCATGGATGTAACTTCCTGAGGGTAGGAATCGGGCTTTATTGCCACCCACAGCTCAGACCCTTTCCCAGCTTTGCTGGAGAAGCTCCCCCAGTGTCTCCAGTGCTTCCCTCTCCCTGTCCCAGCAGCTGCAGCTGGAAAGGCACGTGAGGGATTTGCCTACCCGTGGGTCCTACCTGCATTGAAACCCCCTCCGAGTCTCTCTGTTTGCTCTTTGAGGACAGAACAAAGATTTGTTGGGAGCAGGTTTCTCCCCGTGCTGCAGGAATCCCATTTTTCGGGATGCCCCATGCCGCAGGCAGGCAGAGGTGAGCTGAGCTGCCACGTTCTCTGCCAGAGGCGCTGGTGTGGCACGTCGGGGCACTGCATGGCATCAGGGACCATTGCCCACCAGGAAAGCTGGCCAGAAGGAAAATCTAAAAACTTTGAGGGGAAAGAGGCGATGGCTTCCCAACCTTCCAGACATCCTGGAGTGGGAGCCCTGGCACGCTGGGTGCTGGCACCCCGCTGGTGGAGAAGATGGCAGGGCACTGCACCTTTGGGGCAGGATGCTCAACGGTGAGGGTGGCCCAGCAAGATGTTCATGCCCTCAAAGACCTCGGCAGGTCCCACCATCTCTTGCAAGTGCCTGGTTTGGGAACGCATGCCGAGCTGGCCCTGCTGCAGGCTGTTTTCCGCTGCAGACCTTGGCAGGTCCCACCAGCTCTTGCAAGCGCCTGGTTTGGGAACGCACGCCGAGCTGGCCCTGCTGCTGGCTGTTTTCCGCTGCATCAGCACTCGGGGCTCTGCTGATGGGGAGAACAAAGGTTCTTCACCTGAACTCTTGCTCCGGAGTGGGCGGACGGGGACCGAAACCGCGGAGGCTGAGGCAGCCCTGGCTGGGGGAGGCGGTGAGACAGGCACCCGGGCCGTGAGGAGAGGCTTTGCCTGGGGTTGGGGCTGCCAGGAAGAGCCCTGCTCTGGGACATGTGGGTTGACAACCCTCCTCCTGCTGTGGGAAGCATCTCAGAGACCTCGGAGCAGGGCCAGCCCTTGGGGGATGTGCAGCTACAGGCTTGTACCCGGGTCAGGTAGAGCCTGGTTGACTCTTTCAATGCCCACGCAACAACACCAAGACCTTCCAGTAGCAGCTCACCAGCCTGTGAAGGTTTCCTTTCCTGCAATGGGTAAATTTGGGGGGGGATGCTTTCCTTTTATCACCACAATTTAACCCTTTTGCCCCTGAACCCTTTTCCAGCTCCCAAGAAGACAGCCAGTCTTCTGTGCACCCTTGTTGTCCTTGGGTATCACAGGTCACCATAGGACTTTCAAGTCCTCTCCCAGCTCTGTCTCCTCTTCCTCTCCCATACTGAGAAGGCCAGATCTTGAAGCACGTGAAGGGATGTATGAACCACAAACAATAAATCCCTTTTGTGCATCATTGCATCACCCCAGACCTACTTGTGAAACCTCTGGTGGGTGACAAACTCATCGTTTCATCACCTAGGCGTGAGGCCAGCAGCCACCGAGTGACACGCAGGACAGCTTTTCACAAGACCCAAGTGTCCTCAAGCTCCGAAAAGGGCCCCAACTCTTCTCTCTGCTCAGGAATCGGGTCACTGGGTGCTTTGTTTTCCTTCTCTGTGGTGGGAATTTGGTCGGTGCTGCTGGCATGACTCGGGCCGGCGCCGTGGTGGCCACACAGCAGAAACCTTGAGGACAAGTGAGGCTACTGGGACATCGTTCTGGCAGCACGAAGCGGTGAGTTGTGTCACTTGTCCTCTCCAGCACCGAGAAGGGAAGAGGGCATTGCCATGGCAATGGGGATTTGCTGGCTCAGCACATGGCATTCCTCACCAGGGCACCATGAGCGATGTCCCCAGGGATGGGGAGGGGGACCTGGTGGTGACGTGAAGCTGCCTTCTCTCATTTTAGGGAATTCAAGTCAAAGCTGCAGCAGCAGGGATGAAGGAAAAACCACCAGAGGTGATGCCCACCCAGGTGTGTGAGCTACCCGGGAGGGGAGAGTGGAGAGTGAGGAGCCTGAAGCAAGAGTGGTGAGCCCCATTTTGCTCTGCCGGCTGCAACCCGTTTCCTCAATACGTAGAGCAGGGCTTGGCAGTGAGAGCGGCGCCGGGGAGATGGCGAGAGATAGCAGGTGGGGGAGAGGAAGGATGACAGGGTGTCACACCTCCCCCAGTCCTTCCACTCACCCTCACTTTCTGCGCCTTCCCACCTCCCTGCAGAACCCTGGGGTTAGGAGGGGCTTGAGCCTGGAAAATGCCCCAAATCCTTTGATTCTCCCACACCGGAGTCCTCCTTAAAGTCACAAATGATGAGCCCACCTAATTCTTGGAGCGAGGGAGAGAAGGCAGGCTGCAGGCAACAGTTCTCCACCAGGGCACTGCTGCACTCCCCTAGCTAGAAAGCCAGGCAGCCACCTCCCCACGCCACAGGATGAGGGGTGGGCTCTCCTATGACCCCCCCAAATACATGCCCAGACCCTGCTGACCACAGACAGGGCACTCCTGGCAGCAGCAACACAACTAAAGAGCTGCCCAAATCTCACACAACGAGGAGCACAACGGCTGTAGTGATAATTACCAAAGCCCTAGTGATAATTGGGGCACTGGGGCCAGTTCTGGGCTCCCCAGTTGCAGAAGGACAGGGAACTGCTGGAGAGGGTACAACAGAGGGCTACAAAGAGGATGAGGCGAGTGGAACATCTCTCTTAGGAGGAAAGGCTGAGGGACTTGGGTCTTTTTAGTCTGGAGAAGAGAAGGCTGAGGGGGGATCTGATCAACACCTATAAATACTTCAAGGGTGGGTGTCAGGAGGATGGGGCCAGTCTTTTTTCAGTGGTGCCCAGGGATAGGACAAGAGGGAACGGGCACAAACTTGAATATAAGAAGTTCCACCTAAACATGAGGAGGAACTTCTTCACTTTGAGGGTGGCAGAGCCCTGGAAGAGGCTGCCCAGAGAGGTGGTGGAGTCTCCATCTCTGGAGACATTCCAAACCCACCTGGACACGTTCCTGTGCAACCTGCTCTGGGTGGACCTGCTTTGGCAGGGGGTTGGACTGGATGATCTCCAGAGGTCCCTTCCAACCCCATGTCATTCTGTGATTCTGTAATTACAGGAGCTCATCTAATTTGTAGTCACCAGACCAGATACACATTCATCCATGGTGAGCTGAACAGTGGTTCAGCTGCTGCTCCAGCCACCCCCTGCCCTGAGGTGGGTGACAGCAACATCTCAACACCTTTCAAACTCAGAGAGCAAAGAGCTGGCAGGTAGGACAACTCCTGCAGCCACCGGCATGCTGGCCTGTTGGGGTGCTGGTGGTACTTTTGATGTTTACACATGGGAGAGAAACAGTTCAATGCTTCTGCTAAACCCCCTTCAGAGCAGACATAGCGCGGTGGAGAGCATCCTGCATGAGGGGATCCAGGTGCTGAAGGAGGCTCCGATTCATACCAGCAAATTTGGACCCTGAGACATAACCCCAAGGAGTTGGCAGGTAGGACAACTCCTGCAGCCACCAGCAGGCTTGCCTGTCGGGGTGCTGGTGGTACTTTTGATGTTTACACATGGGAGAGAAACAGTTCAATGCTTCTGCTAAACCCCCTTCAGAGCAGACATAGCGCGCAAAGAGCTGGCAGGTAGGACAACTCCTGCAGCCACCGGCATGCTGGCCTGTTGGGGTGCTGGTGGTACTTTTGATGTTTACACATGGGAGAGAAACAGTTCAATGCTTCTGCTAAACCCCCTTCAGAGCAGACATAGCGCGGTGGAGAGCATCCTGCATGAGGGGATCCAGGTGCTGAAGGAGGCTCCGATTCATACCAGCAAATTTGGACCCTGAGACATAACCCGAACGGCTGAGTCCCCAAAACATTGCTCCTGGGGCCTGTTCCCCTCTTCCCTGCTCAACATCTCAACGCTAAACCCACTCCCACGGTGCTGCCCAGCTCCATCCTCCCCCTGACAAAGCTCATGTTGGTGGCTCACCGACAGGGAGGGGTTGCCCTCGTCCTCGACGGTGACCACCAGGCTGTAGAAGCTCTGCCGCTCGCGGTCCGGTGGGGAGGGCCGGGTGGCGATCTCGCCGGTGACGCGGTCCATGCGGAAGGTCAGGTCCTCGTTCCCGCGGGTGATGTAGTAGGAGAGGACACTGTTGAGGCCGATGTCCCGGTCAGTGGCACGTACCTGGACCACTGCTGTGCCACCGCCGACGTTCTGCAGGGTTAGAGGGCAGGGTGAGCAGCAGAAATAAATAAGTCACATGCACCTCATAATATAAAATATATCATTATATAGCTTCATTCTAACATGGAGCAGGTTTTTTTCCAGGCATGGAAGTGCTTGAGGCTCCAAACTCGCTAACCCAACACCCATCAGCCAAGCAGAAGGCTTCAACAGCTCCTGGATTCCATTTTTGCAGTGCAAAAAAAATCTTTCATTAATAGACGCATCTTTGTGCAAAATATTAACCAAGACTACTTGTCCTGCCCCTGATGGCTCAGCTGAGAATCAGCCACAGGCTCAGCGATGGAAGGCTCTGCCCTTTGCTTGAGTGCTCTGATTTTTTTTTTTTTT